AATTAACAATATAAATAACGGAAAGGGTATGTAAGAATCGGTTATAAAGTTCGCACAAATAACAAGTTAAAAAAAGTTAAGAAATAGAGACTATTGAATTTTAATTTTAATTTTAAAATTGCACAAATATTTAGCACATTTTTATATGAGACATTGACATTTTAATTCTTAATTAAATATCTTTATTTTTTAAATGTTAAAATACATAAATTGTATGAAGTCAAGAGAGTGGACTGCGATCAAAGTTTTGCTAAAGGAAAATTGATTTACAAAACTTTTTGGAGAATTTGTGGGTGAAGTTCTTCGAAAATGTTACACGGAATGTCCTGTACTCTTATTAGGAGATATCTATGATGTCGTGCTATACTTTGTTATAATCAAATGATTTCTAACGTGATCCGGTCGTGCATTGCGATCTTTATTAGTTGTTGACTATAGTAATTGTTATTGCTTATGGCAAAGCTATAAATTCTATAATTCGATCAAGGAATACTACGAAAAAGAACGAGTATAGGACTATTGCGAGATGAGTGGAACTTGGGATGTTCAGTCGAATGTTCGATTACGAACGAAATGCTTTTCGGGGTGACAATTCGAACGATATCTGTTTTAGATAATCGAGCATTCAGGGTTACTGATAATTAAAAGCACCTTGCTCTATGGGATCCTTGTCATATTCTTGTCTGGTGTAGGGGAGGAAAGAAAATATTCTTCTATGTGCCGTACTTATATCAATAATGTTTATACTCGTCAGTGTCGATGTCAGTCTTCGGACGTTCAACAATTGTGGCGTATTATCCACTACGGATCTCTCTTCCTCTCTCGCATTTACGCCCTTTTTCAGATTTACCTCGTATTGCGAGAGATTGCTGTTCGATTGTTAATTAATCCTTAAACACTGGCGCGCATTTTCGTGACGTTAACAAAGAATATGACTAATCTTCCAGTTATGTTGAAGATCATAGTCTATTTTTTTTTTTTTTCGAAGTATTCTCAATTAGTTCTGAACTGCAATAAGTTAAACAAACTATACCTGTCTCACTTTAACTTATTGCACCAGTATGCAGCAGTTCAGGTTTGGGGTGGAAAAAGAACACACCCCATGTAAAAGAATATATCTTATTTTTTTTAACATGTTATTAATGAAAAGGGACAAATATTTGATTAATAGAATTTTATTAATGAGTAAATTAATTAAGATAATATATATGACAATTTATAAATTGTGAGAGTTGTGTCTTTATTAGATATGTATACGCTGGTTGTTATTATAGATATACGAATACATGTTAATTTTATAAAAGTTTCGCACCTATTCGCGCCAGTGCTCAAGGATGTCAAATGGATGTGTACGTGTACCGTTACTCGATCTTTTTTATTATTAATGTTCTTAGACTGTCAAGACCACGAAACGCCTTTCGGAACCAACGCGATTAATTTGGCGATTACTCGCGTTTCTTCCATTGATATCCCGTTGAAGGAGTAAACTTGTACCTTTCGTAGAAAATGTCCACCGCGACGATTGTTAGTCGATAGCGTGATCGAGATAAGACGTTTTTCTACGTCACGTCGATAGAAGAAAAGTGATAAGAGGATAAGTCGCGGTGGAGAGAAGGGCAAGAAGAATGTAGGACTGAAAAATGGTAGCACAAATAAAAATCGTTATTCGGTTATATGTATATGTATGTTGCGTTTATATATATATTGAGCATATTGTTATAATCTAAATCTCCGGTGTGAATGCAAGACTATGTACGTCCTGAGCGTTTCGTATCTTTCCTCTGTTAAAGATTTCTTCCATAAGTTTCTGGAATATCGCTTTTATTTTTAGATAAACACAAATGACTCTCTGTTTATCAATCTCTAATTAGTATAATTTATTTTTTAAATATTATTAACGTCAAGCCATTTAATATGGTCAATCAGAGATCAGGATGAGGATGTTTATTTTTATTGCGACTCCAAAAAGTCCTGTCGATCGAGAATGTCAAGATCAGAATGTTAGACGACAGAGGAAAGATATCGTGAGTTTCTGGGACTGAGTGTTAGGTAATTAATTGTTGTTACTAAGTTAGTGTCTGTCTATTTGTATCTTCATTCGTCGGTGTTATGTATTATAAGGTTTTACGGTAAGTTTACGTAAGCCATGTACCGATCAAAGAAGCCGTTTCGCGTTTCGATTTCCGCGTCGGGAGTTAGTAGGATTATTCGTACCTAGTCAAATCCGATAACAAACGTTAGTGTTCTTCGCCTACTCATATCGACAATTTCATCTTTGCGTTGCATCTATCAGTGTTAACGATAGCCTGAACTTCCAATCAATCTGATCATATCGAAGGCTCTTCGCGAATCTCTTCCGTCTTCTTACTTGTAAGTTTTTGCTCGATTAGTTCCACACAGCATTAGTTCGTTGCTCTTCTCATTCTGTTGCTGTATTTAATTCCATAGAAACGCGAAGGAATATACTTGGATTGATCAAAACATTCGCCCGTCTCCTCGACCGATTTCTATTCTATAAAGAGACAAGGACGAGCGCTTTTTTGATCAGCCTAAGAATCGTACTAGAATGTTTCAGAGGGGCGGGATAAGGTACGTGTTGGCTGACGGAGAAGTTTCCACTTTCATGGACCACGAAAACATATGTACTCTTTTCTACTACTCTAAACTAAACAGACTGACTACTTTTTGGATACCTGTTACATGTTTAACGGCGTTTCCGACCGGGACGTGGTTTTAATAATCGCCTCCGCGTGCGATTGATAGAGATAAGTTTCATAAAAGTCGGCTGAAACCGCGTTTGTGAATTCGATCTCTGATGAGAATATTTTCCGAAGCTTTATGTTAATTATTTCGCGGTAATATGTCGAACGAATCCCGCACGGAAACGCCATAAGCGACGCTCGCTATCGTTATTGATCGGAGTGAATTGCGAATCTAAGATTGAACGCGTGACTGAAGCTCCGAGTTGTACCCATGAGTGTATATACAATAAGCGACTAATTGTATGCGTATGTAAGCAAACGTTGAGAAAGCAATCAAGTGGTCGTACCATTTTACTTGCGATATATTTTGTATTTTTAATTCTTTACTCACTTTTATTGTGTCAAACGAATTTCTGAGCGAATCGAACTCGGGTTTTTTTTTGTGCCAGAATATTTTTTTTTCTTTTTTTTTTTCGACAATTCAGCGATCAATGCGTCATTAAGTATTATGTTTCGCGACGTCCGCGTTTATCCGAAGAACGATTTGTCTCTGAACGGTACAACCACTTCGTTAGCGTACGTTAATTATGGTTGTCACATATGAATAATTTATAGTTTGTAACGATGATCGATGTACAAACAGATACTCACGTTCTACTGCGCGGACGTCTTCTGATATACAATTACTATTGCATTTTGAATATGTTAGTGGAAGATGTCTGACCTTTAACGAGAAGTCCTAGTTGGTTGTGCAGCAATAAATAAATTAATATTTACGTATAAAGTGTGTGAACAAGTCTGTAGCGTTTCACGCATCTTTCCACTAATTCTGCATCAAGAAACGATGCAGATGTTTCGATCATTTCATAAAAACATGCACGGGAAAAAAATAATGTGTTAATAGCATTAGTTATAATAGTAGTCCAATTGAAAATAATTTTGCTAATTCAATGACGGTATTTCTGAAATCAATAGTATTTTATTAAACAGCATGTTGTGTTGTTTCATTAAGACTGTTATTAAATTAATAATATTATTTTCGTTTAGACTGCTACTAAAACATTTCTTCTTGTGAACAAATTTCTTTTTGTTGAATTGTTTGCATATATTACTTTACATTTCATTGTAAAAGGTCCATTTTTTTAAAACGCTTTTTCAAGGTCTAATAATAATTTTATTGTATCCAACAAAATTGGTCAAGATAGATGGATATGATATAAAGACAAAGATGTACGCATTATATGCGAAAGGTAAGGCATTAACAAGATTGATGTTATGATACTTCTTGAAAAATGTAGAGTAGGTCAAAACATGGCGAACTCAAAATATGAAATAGAGATATAGTACAAAATATAAAACGTATTAATCGTATCGATATATAATGTAAAGGAACATAATTCTCTTTCACAAAGATAGTTTTTGTAAGATAATGATTTTTAGTGTGGTATAAACATAACAACTTAATAATCTTTGGAACTTAAAGTTACATAATTTTAAAGCTGAACATTATAGTTTGTAATACAAATTTTAAGTCTATATATATATATATAAGATCTATCGATCGCTAAATTTACATAAAAACTAAGTCCCAACATACAATTTTTATGTACAAAGTCGACAATACATTTTTTTTTTATTTTACCTTGATTATCTTTGATGAATTTACTTACGTATATTAAAACAAGATTATGAAAAAAGAGAGATGGCAAAAGTGTTAATAACGCTATTGATTTTTGTTTCAGTGTTATATAAGTAACGAAAATAAAAATGCATTATTAATACACTCAGTGTATCAAAACTCGGAGATAACCCGCGTAACTTCCTTGAAGAAAATATACGTGAAAGTCTTAAAAGTCTTCCAACGAGTTATCCATCAAAAAGCAACTTTATCTTTACTATGAATTTCTCGCAGAGTATACCGCACTTCGTCTACAGTGATGAATGCAACGTGAACCAAGTGATGTGCTGCCGAAATGATATGAAGGATTCCTTGACGGAACGGGGCATCTCTCTAACTCTTATGCCGTTCTTCATAAAAGCAGCCTCACGAGTATTGGAGTAGTACCCTCAATTAAACGCTTGGTTCGACAAGAAGAGTCAAAAACTGCAAGTTCTGAACAACCATTACATCGGCATCGCCATAGACACTCCGGCTTAGTAGTTTCAAACATCAAGAATATGCTGAATCTCAATCCGATCGCACAGGAGCTGAACAGGTTTCAGGAGTGTGGCAGGTCATTGATACCGATCTGAGTAACACGACCTTTACGTTTTCCAATATAGCCATGGTAAGTGCAGACGCATGAAAAGACAAATTATCAATGTAAATTACGAATTAGTATAAACTGTTTTCGGCAGTTTGTGCGTTAAACTTATAAATCACCGATTCTGAAATTGGATGCTCAATTTTATAAATAGTTGTATTCTGGTTTATTTTAGATTGGGAGCACAAATAAATGTAGCTTATAATTAGGCCAGTTGTCTCATGGAACTTATGAACCATTAAATATTCAAAAAGGATCGAGTATTGTATTCATATTATGTTAATATTTTATGAGATATGTCAGGCACTTGAAAGTATTTATTTCTCGTTCTGCACCGAAACTTGATGAGTTTTACTTGATGAGAAAGCGACTCTGACATCAAATAGTTTATTACTTCATATTTTTACGTTTTTGTTTCGGTTATATAAGTAATTAATATAAAAATCACAACGTTATATTAACATTTTCTCATAATCTTCATAATCTCGTTTTAATAGTACGTAAAAAAGTTTGTCCAATCTAAAGACTGGATCCTTAGTGTATATAAATGTTTATAGACGGCTTCAAGGACAGATCAGCAGATGCATCGGATTCTCCACATAGTACTTCCACAGATTGGAGAATCTAGCCACCGTTACGCCGTCAACGATGCGATGATCTGCGGACCAGCTGATCGACATTATGTTGGCTGGAATCACATTCCCCTTATCGTCGAATCGCGGTAACTTCCGCGCCTTTCCAAATGCACCTATTATCACCTGCGGTGATGCGATAACCGGCTTCATATACGTTCCACCAATCTAGAAGTCGACACAAAGAACAGTACTTCAATAGAAATAAATATTTAGATGAAGAAAAAACAAAATGGGAAGAAGAATGCCAAGATTGACGGATACTCGAAAAGTAAAATTATACACATTATATATATATATACAAATTTATATAATTTGTAATTCACTGATCATAATTTATCTTTTGGTGCGTCCACACTTACCATGCCTATATTGGACAACGTAAACGTCGTGTGGCTCACATCGGCATGCGACATCGATGCTTTACTGCCGCACTTTTGAAGTCTATTCAGCTCTTGCGCGATTGCGAAAACACTGAGGTTCTGCACATTCTTGATGTTCGGCACTACTAGGCCCTTCGGAGTGTCCATGGCAATGCCGATATTATGATTGTCCAAGAGCTGCAGCTGTTGGGCCTCTTCGTCGAGCCAAGCGTTTAATTGAGGATACTGCTCCAACGCTCGCGAGGCTGCTTTTATGAAGAAAGGCATAAGAGTTAGAGAGATGCCCAGTTCCATCAAGGAGTCTTTCACATCGTTTCGGCAGCGCATCACTTGGTCCACGTTGCACTCATCGCTGTAGACGAAGTGTGGTATTGTCTGTGAAAAATTCATGGTAAAGATAAAGTTGTTTTCTGATAGATAATTTGTTAGGTGACTTTTGGGGCTTCCCACGGGTATTTTCTTCAAGAAAATTGTACGATTATTTCCGTCTTTTAATACATCCTTAAGTGTCAACATTTCGTGAATTTATTTCATCAGGATGAGAATACTAATACTGACAAGGAGAGAATACAGTGGATTTGATATGAATTTTGATCTCCTTCATGCGAAATCTTTTCATACATTAAAAAGTACTAAGACCTATTCAATAAAATACTCGGATATGACACAACTTATCTACGATATAAGAT